TACCCAGCAAAAACTTATATTGAAAAGTAATGAGTTAAAAGCTTTTTACTACTTATTCAGTAGCATTTTAACTCATTATTTTAACACGGTCATGACATTGTAGGCAAGTACTTACCACGTTCTCTTACAAATCACTATTTATATAAGTACTTATAAATAAGGAGTTAAAATGTTGTTTTGTTTTAAACAAAAAAAAATTGTTCACACAGAATAAGGCAGGGATTCTTGTTGTTTCGTTAGGTATCTTACAACAGCACTACTGACTTATTTTATTGCGTGTCCAATAATGGTTTTCACAGAAAAGCTTTCTGTGTGTGTGTGAAAAACTCAAAATTAAGTACTTACTTATTTGACCATATATAAGTCATTATAAGTATTCTTAAAAGTAATTCAGGCGGTAAGTAGTAGTCACTAATAAGCAAGTGGTTATGTAAGTACCAGCATTACCGAGTTTTTGCTGGGTAAGTATACTTTTTAAAATTTATTTCTCATGGAGATAATTGATATGTTCAGGTTCCTTAAAAAGCTTCAGTATATCGTAATGTATGTTTTTTTTTGATTTTCCTGAGAAGGTAGGGTCAATTATCGACCGATCCTTATAAAATTTTGTAGAGAGATTTTGGCTCGTACAAAACTTGTTTATGTTGAATTTTATAGCTGTACTCGTATTTTTAAGCCAATAATGAACTTTAGAGTTATTTTTTGTTGGAGACCTTATGTGGTGATCCTAGTAAAATTTTGTAGAACGATTTCGTTCATACAAATCTTGTTTTTGTTGAGTTTCATCGCTGTACTCGTAATTTTAAGGCTGTAATTACACATTTTCTTAAGGAGACCTTATATAGAGAAATTTTAACTTGTACGAAACTTGTTTTAGTCGAATTTCGTCGCTGTATTCCTATTTTTAAATCAATTATGATCGTAAAAGTCATTTTATAAAGGGGACTTTTATCGGGGCGGGTAGGATCAATTATGGCGTGATCCTCGTAAAATTTGGTAGAGAGATTTTGCTTCATATAAAACTTGTTTATGTGGAAAATCAATGATATACTGGTATTTCTAAACCAGTTATGGGGCTTATGAGAAAACGTGGACCGAAATTGCATATTTGCATACTATACAAATATTCTCTTGAATTGGCTTTATTTAATTGGACTAAAATACCATAGATATCGATATATAAAATATAATATATATTAAATTTTAAAAATAAATTTGTGGCTTCTAAAGGGTTTTTATTTCCCCTGACTGCAGCCGCAGACCGCTTTATACATAATACATTAAGCTTTCATTTTATCTTAATTTTAATGCGGAGATAAGGGGATCTTAAAACGTATACTTCACCAAAAACTTAATACTTCTTAAATAGAACATTAAATACAAAATATGCAAATATTAAGAGCAGTTTATAATCTTATTATTTAAAGATCATGACTTAATAAATATCTAAACAAAATAGTCTATCTAATATTAATTAAAATATTTTCCGGCAAATGCTATATAATCGAAAATAATGACCTTAAATATGGCTATTTTAAAGCACAAAAATATTGTATTTGAAATCCTTCACATTTGATCCATACTTTAGGATAGTTATGCCAGCTAGATTTCTCCAATATTTTTATATTATATTACATAATGTTAGGTTAGGTTAGGTTAGGTTTTTCAGACTGCTTACTAACACGAGTAAGTCTATACTTGGGTCCTATTCGGTCCCTTTGTAACGTCTGTAAAGAGAAAAGATAAGGGAAAACATTTGGAAGGGGAAGAGTAGTAATAAAGAAAGTAGTGAAGAAACAGATATAGAAAGTAGAATGATGAGTATAGAATAGCGAAGAAGTTAAGACTCTATTACCAGAAAAATCATAGTGTGTATTTAGTTACACACCCACTTCGACAATTTCAAGAATGCTAGTATACACTCAGGTTGAATAGCTGACAGATCAGATAGATCAGAAAAGTGAGACGAACCCAGCGCCTGATGACGGAGCGATTCCAGGGCCGGGCAGTTACACAGAAAATGAGTAATAGTTTCCTCTTCTTCTTCATTTTGACAGCTCCTACAAAAGTCATTATATGGAATACCAATACGTCTAGCGTGGTTTCCAAACTTTGAATGACCTGTAAGAACTGATAACAAAGCGCTCAGATATATTCTGTTTAGCCCTAAAATGTAGGATGTTTTATGAGAATCCATACGACGCCACAGTAACCTAGCGATCGAGCAAGTGTGCTCCTGAGACCATCGCTCCTGAGCTGAATTGAAGCAGTAATCAAGTATTTGCTTCTTGATGACCGCTAAGGGACACCACAGAACTGGTCAATATCCAGTATGGTCATCCTCGTGCCGGCTTTTGCCAGAATGTCAGCAGTATTATTGCCAATTGTTTCCCCGTGTCCTTTGACCCAAATAAGGGTAATTCTTGAATATCTCGCCATCTCGTTTAGAGACGCCCGGCATTCTTGGACAAGTTTTGATGTAGAATACACACCTATCAGGGATTTGATAGCGGCTTGACTGTCGGTATAAATTCTGATATCTCTGTTGGATATCCGATAGTACCTAAGCCAATTTGAAGCCCTTTTTATAGCTGAGATTTCAGCCTGCAAAATAGTACATTCGTCGTTGAGTCGGAAAGAGATTTTCGTCCCGAATTCTTCAATGAATATGCCCCCGCCGACACCTTTAGTTGTTTTTGAGCCATCTGTATATACATTAAAGCTTCCAACACTTTCAGGTGCTAATTCATTATAATCGCAGATTAAACTATACCGGAAGTTCCTCGATATGCACGGTTCCGGAATATGGTAGTCAATAGCTTGATGTAGGTTTGGTACAAGATCTACAATCTTTGCATGACCTCTGGAACCGTAGTTCCATCTATTCGTAATACTTAGTCTGGCTGCAGTATTCATTGCCAGTTGTTTAGCAAGAAGATCCACAGGCAGCCAGTTCAGCATGGCAAACAACGCTTTACTGGGCGTAGTCCTAAGTACACCTGTTATGAGAAGAGCAGATTGTCTCATAACTTTAGTAAGAATGTTTCTGTTAGATATTCTGTCAAGTGCATGCCACCAGACAATTACACCATACATCATTATCGGTTTAATCACCGCCTCATATAGCCAATTCACATTTCCTGGGTTGATACCCCAATGCAGGCCAATAGCCTTTCTACAAACGTATAACGCCGTAATGGCTTTGGAAGATCTGGAGATGATATTCAAGCTCCAAGACAATTTTCTGTCGAGAATAACACCTAAGTATTTTGCGCTATCCGACAGTGTGAGAACCTCACCGTTGAGGCGTGGAAGGGAGAATTGAGGAATTTTGTATTTATTTGTGAACAATACTAGTTCCGTTTTTCCTGGGTTTACGCTGAGACCGCATTTAACACTCCATGAGCTTATTATCTTCAGCGCTTCTTCCAATCTCTGAGACAGAGTCTCAAGATGCGTACCAGTTACCGCTACTGCAACATCGTCAGCGTAGGCAACCGTCTTAAAACCTAGTGAGTCAAGTTTGACCAATAGTTCATTTATTGCCATATTCCAAAGAATAGGGGACAACACCCCTCCTTGAGGAGTGCCCCGGATGGCTTTTTTACAGATTGTTGTATCACCCAGTGAAGATACAATAGTCCGTTCAGATAGCAAGTTCTTTACAAAACTCACAATGGATCGTTCCACACCCATCTGTGAGAGGGATTGACAGATAGGTGAGGATCTGACGTTATTAAAAGCGCCCTCAATATCGAGAAAGGCAACCAGAGTGAAGTTTCCATAGCTCATGTACTTTTCAATGTACCCAACCAGGGAATGTAAAGCCGTCTCAACAGATTTACCTTTCATGTATGCATGTTGAGAGTTTGAGAGTAGAGATTTGTCAATAGATATCCTGACATTGATATCAATTATCCTCTCCAGAGTTTTAAGCAAGAATGACGCCAGACTGATGGGTCTGAAGTCTTTTGCCTTGGTGTGAGATGTCTTTCCCCCTTTTGGGATAAAGATCACGTTACACCTGGTCCACTGTACAGGTATGTAGGACCAGTATAAACAGGCCTTATAAATATTACTTAGCCAGGGAATGATACGATCTAAATTATTTTGTAGATCCGCTGGAATAATGCCATCAGGGCCCGGAGATTTATAGGTGTCAAAACTCCTTATTGCCCAGCGAATGATGTCATCATCTATCATAACATCTTCAGCAGTATTATCTAGTTGAATACCGTGCTGATTATCTGCAATTGATTCACCAGTTGGGATACAACCAGGAAAGTGAGTATTCAAGAGAAGCTCAAGTGTCTCTTGACTACCTGCAGTCCAATTTCCGTCCGCTTTTTGTATATAGCTTGGGACGGAAGGAGATTTAGACAGGATCTTACGAAGACGACTCGTATCTGACGAATTTTCTATAGAACTACAGAATTTTCTCCAGGAGCTACGTTTCGCACTTCGTACCTGATTTTTAAATTCATTAACTTTTGACTTATAAAGAGACCAGTTACCAGATCTCTTTGCCTCGTTAAATAATTTACGACATAACCTTCGAGTTTTCGCAATTTCGGGATCCCACCAAGGGGGTTTGCCCTTAAGCATACCATTTGATAATCTACAAGCCCTTTTTGTGGCTACACTAATAGAGCTTGAGATCCAGCTAACGGCTAAATCAATGTCACTTCTACTCTCTATCGTCGGAGCAGTAGGAAGAATATCAGTCAAGGTCGCTTTATGTACCTCCCAGTTCGTCTTTCTCCTATTGAGAAATGGTTTTATAATCTTTGCCTGAACCACTATTTCGAATTCTATATAGCAGTGATCAGAGAAGGAGCATTCTTTTGAGACCTTCCAACCCTGAACTAGGTCAATATGGTTTGCATTCACAACCGTTATATCCAGTACCTCCTTTCTATTTGCAACTATGAAAGTGGGTTCTGAACCTCTATTTACTACTACTAGGTTATTATCTAATAGAAAATCTAAAAGAGACTCACCTCTTGAGTTAATGTCTGAGCTTCCCCAGACCGTGTGGTGCGCATTTGCATCTGCACCCATGAGAAGCGGAATGTGTCGCCTATCTGCCTCACACACAATTTCCCTCACCAGGCGATTTGGTGGCTGGTCGCCATGGTCGTGTGCCATATAGCTACTTAGAAGCCAGATGTTTGAGTTACCAGACTCCCAAGCAGCCGCAACAGTATCTTCGTCGCTGTAATCAGACAGGATAAAGATGTTTAAATGGCTCTTAGCCAGAATGCAGGATCTTATATTACCTGAACAGTTAGCATGAAGAAGCTTATAGCCTCTAAGCGAGAGTCCACGAACTTTACCATGGTGGGTCCACGGTTCCTGGACCAGGATTAGCTCCTCCCCTCTTTCAGCTAAACGGAGGAGGAGGGCAGCAGATGCTGCTTTGGAGTGGTGAAGGTTAATCTGCAATACCTTCACCATCTCCTAAGTCAGGATCGTAGACGACGGTTACGTCGACATCTTCCGGATCAGTATCCGAAAGGGTGTCGTCGTCCTCCGCCACTTTCAGATCGCCGAGGAGTTCTCCCAATTGACCTGTGGTCGATTGAGAGTTCTCCCCGCCTTCTGAAACAGCGGGATCGTCGATGTTATCATCGTCCTTCTTGGGCGGAACCTCTAGCTTAACCTTCGAGGCAGCGGCGTTGCGTTTGTCGTCACTGCGGTAGGTACGGAGAGGAGTCTGCGAGGAATTTCACATACCGGGACCACGTCCAACATAGCACCTGGCCACACTTCCCCAAGGGACTCAATCGCTAGCTTGAGAAGTAACGCAGAGCGCTCATTCGAACAAGCCAGCAGTTTTATATGACCCTGGAACCAGCCAGCGTCATCATTTTGGGGGGCGGGTCCTGGATTTTCCTTAAGGATTTTCCAGTACACCCCTAGCATTCGTTGACGGATGATCCCCCATTTATCTTGAGAGATGGCCCCGTCACTATTGCTCCTGTCGATAATAGCCCTTACCAGTGGATTTTTGGCAACCTCACTGAAAGGCCTATTAACGACGACAGTTTGCGCCTTCTTTGGACGTTTAGTCGTCGGCTGGATGGTTGACAACGAAGGGGACTCTTCCTCTGATCTTTGCCGTTTAGGCGCCTCAGCAGCAGACTTCGTCACTTCTGCTTTGGCTGGAGGATTTGAGTCCTGTTGTCTAGCCAGGATACTTTTGGCCCATTCAAGAGACGATTTCTCGTCCTTGGACAATACATTGTTGGGCTTGGCGCCATGTCGCTCAACAATGCGCTCGGCGGCGCGCCGATGTGCAAAAGCCCTACGGGAAGGGGTTTTGTGCCGTTGGGAATCTGCTGGTACGCTGGAAGAGCCCGACATCGAGTTCGACGACTTTTCCAGCGTGGGGGGAGGTGCGGATGAGGAACCCGACATCGGGGTCGACGATTCCTCTCTTGCACAAGGTGGCACATGGGAGACATTTTTGTCACCCGAAGGCAGGGAAGAGGCTGACTTTTGATCAGCTAGGGCTGCTCTCGCGGCTGCAGAGGTACTTGCCACAACGGGCAGAGGTACCTCACCGCTTGGGACCTTTCCCACAACTGAAGGTTTGGTGGGAGGGATTGGTTTACAAGCAGCCAGCTTGGGCCGGCTGCTTGCGGGTTTTATTGTTGTTGTTGTTGTTGCTCCAGTAACTTGCGAATTAGACAGGCCCGGTGCTACCACCTGTCTAACTCGGATGCCAGTAACATTCGATTCACCACAGCCCGGTGTCGCCGCTGTGGGAATAGGGTCTCCGGGTATTGTCAAGCCCCGAACCGGATACGAGGGGCATTTTTCTTCTTCAGACATCATTTGGGGGGGGGGGGAGATTTGCATTTTTCACCTACTGCCAGGACACAAAAACTGCCGTCCCTCTGGGATCAAACAGACCATCAAGCCGCCCAATATGGAACAGACGCTTGATGGGTTTCGGACTGCACATTTAAGTGCATGAATCCTTTAAGGATTCAATCGGACTGCTCTATCGATTGCCCTATCTCAGTGATAGGAAAAACAATCGATAGAGCGGGTACTGACAGACCGCCCAATATGGGAAACAGACATCTGTCAGTTGGGAGGGGTAGTTCTTAGTTTCGTGCTCGTCCTATGGCCCGTCTGACAAGGGTGACCCCTTGGAGCCAGCCAGCTTGGGCAGAGCTGACTCCGTCAGCATGGCCCATAGGATTCATTGCACTTAAGCCTTCACATCGCGACAAGATGACTACCTTTCGTGAAGGAATGTCTTAGCTTTACTATAAAAAAAATATGTCAATATTTAACATTTTATAAAAAGTATTTATGATCAGCTTCTATTCTACCATTTCCTACTGTGCGTTGTCCAAGTTTGGAGATGTTTTTTGAAAGTATTTTATATAGGAACCGTACTATTTATTAATTAATTAGAAACCCATGTCTATTCATGAGAAAAACGCAAATTTGTTTTTAAAATCAATGACGACGTTATTGATCTGTTTCTAAATACAAAACTTGTTCAACACTGGTTTTCCGAAATTTTTATTTAATGGGGAATGGGCTAAAAATGGGCCGATCCTCATACAATTTGGTGGAAGGATTTAGATTTATATAAAAGTTATTTATGCTGAATTTCATCATGATATTGATGTAATTAAAAGAATTATGGAATTAAAGGCGTTTGCTTAAGGAGGATTTGAATGGGGACTATTGTCAGATATCGGACCTTATCTGACCCTAGTTCCCATTCAAATCAATACAAAAATCGGTATAAATTAGTTTGCTGTAATCTTTAGTGATACTGCTGATTCTTTAGACAATACGGTCTTATTCGACCCTAGTTTCCATTCAAACCCTCCTTCAGAAAATGACTTGAATTCCATAAATCTCCTCTTAATATTAATATCATAAATAACTTTTATATAAACATAAATCCTTCCACTAAATTTTTCGATGCAGCATCCTCCAGAAAATCAGTTTTTGAACATACTTGTATAAAGAAAGAAGTTAGAGTGCTATATTCGGCTGAGCCGAATCTTAAATACCCTCCACCAGCTACTTTTATATTAATACTTTTTTAATTGATCAAATATTTGTAAAAATAAGTTTTCTCATGTCTTAAATAGGAAAACCCCAAGATTTAAACAGCTTAAATCTGTTACAAATGCAAGATTTATTGAACATTACAAACCCCATTTTCTTTAATATTTTTAAAGCACCCTAAGATATGATTTAGCGATATTTAATAATTTGTGTGGAAGATTTGAGGAAATTTAAATTTTCGGGGCAGGACCTAGTATGGGAGATATGACCGATTATGGACCGATCGTAAAAAAATCTTTAAGCAACATTTCTGTATATAAAAGCTGTATTTCAGTCAAATTTTGTATCTATCGCAATTTAGTAATAAGTAATGTGTGTTAAAGAGATTTTCGGAAGGGAAACTTTCATGGGACCGATCGCACCCATATTATAAACCGATCGTGAAAAAATCTTAAAATATAACACTATGCAACACTATTTTTGGGGGGCGAAAAATTCCTTCACAAAATGAAAGTATGCCATTAGTGTATTCAAACCCCCGAAGCATTTTTCGCTGTTAGGTCAAACTTTTACGCCATCGCTAAATGAAAGTTCATAGTGGGTTAACGGGATTTTTAACCTTAATTAATAGAAACTATTAACGAATGGGGTATCATATGAAAGCTCCTTCAAAGTGCCATTGAATAATATGTAAATCAAGAACATCCATTTCAAAATTTTCGCGATTTCCGAATAAAAGCATATTTTTTTGGAAAATGGAAAAAATGGTATTTAAACGGCTAACTAAATGACCAAATTAAAAATTTTTCTGCGAAATGCACTGTTTAATGTGTATAAGTTAAATGCGGAAAGTTTGAATATATTTAAATACTTAAAACATGTTTTTTTGAAAACTTTAAACTATAATATTTTTTTAAAAAAGAAAATTTTTAATTTTTTGCACATTTGGTATAAAAAGGTGGGGGAAAATATTTTAATTTGAAAATAATTGCACGTTTTAGAAATGTCAATGACAAATGTAAAAGTTTGATACCTATATTAAATATTTTTGATATAAATTTTGAGACTGTAAAAGAATTGACAAAAACGCGAATATAAAAAATAATAAAATGCAAGATTCATTTAATCACATAGAAATTAAATAAAACTAGAGTTCGCCCCGCGGCCGAAATTCGACCGGAACCATTGAAGAAAAGATTGCATACTTATGCTGCAAAATAAATCCCTACTTTTATAGTTCAAATGTCTTTAAAAAATATTCCTATTACTATTATCAAAGTGTAAAACTTGCATTGATCAATGCATTCTTTTTAAGTTTAAAATCTAAGTTCTAAAATTATTTATGCAACATACTTTTCAAAAATATTTCGATTTATTATCCTCTACATAAATGTTTATAAAATCTATGCAAAACTAAGTGAGTGAAGATAAATATGCCGAGTTAAATATGTAATGACGTAAAGAGTTACGTCATTACATATTTGCAGATATGTCTCACGTAGTTGAAAAATATGGGTAAAACACAAATTTGACATATTTCCAAATATGTTTTTGTATTTTCCCCGCATTTCTAGCAAAATTATTATTTTTAAAATAATTAAAAACCTCAAATGACAGGAAATTTATCCCCTACCCTTATCTTTAAATGTACATCTTTAAAAATCGTCATGTTTTGACTTTTAACACCCTTTTCATAGTAGTTGAAGAATTATTCGAAAACCTTAAGTTTTTCCTCCATGAAATGCTGCTTTTTCGATTTTTGTCGATTTTTTCAAAATAAAAATTTTACAAAATTTTAACTTTCGTCCCCACCAAAAGGGTTAATGGGGCGAGCCATACCTCAAATTAAAGGGAATCGATCCCTCTACCGTAACATTTAATTACATTGTCAAAAAGTGGAAAATTCGATTTTTGTCGATTTTTTCAAAATTAAAATATTGCAATATTTTAACTTTCGTCCCCACCAAAAGGGTTAATGGGGCGGGTCATACCTCAAATTAAAGGGAATCGATCCCCTTACCGTAACATTTAATCACATTGTCAAAAAGTGGAAAATTTGATTTTTAACGATTTTTTCAAAATTAAAATATTGCAATATTTTAACTTTCGTCCCCACCAAAAGGGTTAATGGGGCGAGTCATACCTCAAATTAAAGGGAATCGATCCCTCTACCGTAACATTTAAGTATATTTTCAAAAAATAATTTTTCCGATTTTTGTCGATTTTTTCAAAATAAAAATTTTACAATATTTTAACTTTCGTCCCCACCAAAAGGGTTAATGGAGCGAGTCATACCTCAAATTAAAGGGAATCAAACCCTGCACCGTAACATTTATGTACATTTTCCAAAAGTGGAAAATTTGATTTTTGTAGATTTTTTCAAAACTAAAATTTTACAAAATTTTAACTTTCGTCCCCACCAAAAGGGTTAATGAGGCGAGTCATACCTCAAATTAAAGGGAATCGATCCCTCTACCGTAACATTTAAGTACATTTTCAAAAAGTGGAAAAATCGATTTTTGACGATTTTTTCAAAATTAAAATTTTACAAAATTTTAACTTTCGTCCCCACAAAAAGGGTTAATGGGGCGAGTCATACCTCAAATTAAAGCGAATCGATCCCTCTACCGTAACATTTATGTAGATTTTCAAAAAGTGGAAAATTAGATTTTTGACGATTTTTTCAAAATTAAAATTTTACAAAATTTTAACTTTCGTCCCCACCAAAAGGGTTAATGGGGCGAGTCATACCTCAAATTAAAGGGAATCAAACCCTGCACCGTAACATTTATGTACATTTTCCAAAAGTGGAAAATTCGATTTTTGTCGATTTTTTTAAAATAAAAATTTTACAAAATTTTAACTTTCGTCCCCACCAAAAGGGTTAATGGGGCGACTCATACCTCAAATTAAAGGGAATCGATCCCTCTACCGTAACATTTAAGTACATTTTTAAAAAGTGGAAAATTAGATTTTTGACGATTTTTTCAAAATAAAAATTTTACAATATTTTAACTTTCGTCCCCACCAAAAGGGTTAATGGGGCGAGTCATACCTCAAATTAAAGGGAATCGATCCCTCTACCGTAACATTTAAGTACATTTTCAAAAAGTGGAAAAATCGATTTTTGACGATTTTTTCAAAATTAAAATTTTACAAAATTTTAACTTTCGTCCCCACAAAAAGGGTTAATGGGGCTAGTCATACCTCAAATTAAAGGGAATCGATCCCTCTACCGTAACATTTAAGTATATTTTCAAAAAGTGGAAAAATCGATTTTTGACGATTTTTTCAAAATTAAAATTTTACAAAATTTTAACTTTCGTCCCCACCAAAAGGGTTAATGGGGCGAGTCATACCTCAAATTAAAGGGAATCGATCCCTCTACCGTAACATTTAAGTATATTTTCAAAAAATAATTTTTCCGATTTTTGTCGATTTTTTCAAAATAAAAATTTTACAATATTTTAACTTTCGTCCTCACCAAAAGGGTTAATGGAGCGAGTCATACCTCAAATTAAAGGGAATCAAACCCTGCACCGTAACATTTATGTACATTTTCCAAAAGTGGAAAATTTGATTTTTGTAGATTTTTTCAAAACTAAAATTTTACAAAATTTTAACTTTCGTCCCCACCAAAAGGGTTAATGAGGCGAGTCATACCTCAAATTAAAGGGAATCGATCCCTCTACCGTAACATTTAAGTACATTTTCAAAAAGTGGAAAAATCGATTTTTGACGATTTTTTCAAAATTAAAATTTTACAAAATTTTAACTTTCGTCCCCACAAAAAGGGTTAATGGGGCGAGTCATACCTCAAATTAAAGCGAATCGATCCCTCTACCGTAACATTTATGTAGATTTTCAAAAAGTGGAAAATTAGATTTTTGACGATTTTTTCAAAATTACAATTTTACAAAATTTTAACTTTCGTCCCCACCAAAAGGGTTAATGGGGCGAGTCATACCTCAAATTAAAGGGAATCAAACCCTGCACCGTAACATTTATGTACATTTTCCAAAAGTGGAAAATTCGATTTTTGTCGATTTTTTTAAAATAAAAATTTTACAAAATTTTAACTTTCGTCCCCACCAAAAGGGTTAATGGGGCGACTCATACCTCAAATTAAAGGGAATCGATCCCTCTACCGTAACATTTAAGTACATTTTTAAAAAGTGGAAAATTAGATTTTTGACGATTT